CACCCTCGCACGAACGGGTAGGTTGAGCGCGCAAATGACATGGTCATGCAAGGCCTCAAGCCTAGAATCTTCAATTGGCTAACCAAGTTCAGCAGATGATGGGTCACAGAGTTTCCTGCGGTGCTCTGGAGCTTAAGGACGACCCCCAGCCGGGGTGATCGGCTACACGCCTTTCTTCATGGTCTATGGTTCTGAGGTAGTCCCCTCAACCGACCTCGACTACGGAGTGCCGAGGATCAGGGCATATGACAAACAAGGGCTCGAGGCGTCCCTCGAAAATGCCATAGACCAGCTCAATGAAGCACACAATGTTGCCCTCCTCCGCTCAGCCAAGTACTAGCAAGCGTTGTGCCAATACCACGGCCATCGGGTGTGGAGTTGGGCCTTCAATGTCAGGGACTTGGTACTCCGCCTCGTCCAGAGCAATAAGAACCGCCACAAGCTCTCTCCACCGTGGGAGGGACCGTACGTCATCGCGGAGGTGTTTCGACCAGGCACCTATAATCTCAAGACCATCGACGACAAAGTCTTCATCAATGCCTAGAACATCGAACAACTACGTCGCTTTTACCCCTAGCCTACGCATGTACTTAAGAATGATGTTTCTGAAATACGAAATCGTTTTCTCTTATCGGTTACGCTATCGTTTCCTCAATCTTTAGTGACACCCGACCCCGGCAACGACAAGGGGTCAGGTATCACTCGGGGGCAGATAAGAGTATCTACTCAGAAACATTCTCTGTGTCCGACCCTCTCTTACGTTAAGATCTCCAAGTAAGGGCTGCGGAAACAAACACAGCGGCTACAACGTTTTTGTCACCAGCGTGATCAGAGTTGTTTCGCCCATATCCCAAGCTTTACAGCCTTAACCAAGGAAAGGGTCAGAACACATTAACCTTTTTATAAAAAAGGACGAAAAACCAAAAGTCTGTTCGACCACAACAAAATTTAAAAACTTGTCTATTTATTACAAGTTCACCGCCCGGCTCATCCAACTAACTAACCCCTCAGGGGGATGACTTCATCCTCGATCTTTACAGCTAGATCCTGCGCCAGGGGGCCACCGTTTCCTCGATCTCCTCCAGCTTGACCTCGGAGTAACCGGGCGCGAAGCCCTGACTCATAGTCTCCAGATCGATGTTCTCGTAGTGAGAATGAGCGATCCCAAACGACCGATGAATGCCAAAGCGAAGCGCGTTCCTCGTGGTCTCATGCACCCGATCTGTGATCCGGATGGCGCAGACCGCGAGCAAGCTCGTCTCCTGCGCCGGGGCTAGCTCGAGGTCGTCGCAGACCAGCTAGACAGTGATGCGTAGGGTGTCGTGCTCATCGCTCTCCTTCAGGAATCATGCACACGCCACCTCCACCGCTCCTCGAAGGGCGCATCGGACAGCGGTTCGCCCCCTCGATGGGCCCAAAATCGCCGTAGGTTAGTAGGGATACGAAGCTAAAAATGCTCCCACGGCCCATTAAGGCTCAAGAGTTCAAAGGTTGGCCCACCGATGGGTTTACAACCGCTCCAGGACACCTTTAGAGTGAGGGGTGGTAAGGGATGGGCCCGCTAGCGCCCAGTACCCAGGCGCATGAGCGCCACGGGTATCCTGACCCACGTTCGAGTCTTGGCCGGTGCATAGTCCATGGTTTTTCCTCGAAGAAAGGCGACGACGAGCCCTTGAGACCGGTCGAACAGACCCGAGAACTATATGGACTAGCCGCTAGGAATCTGGAGTCAGTCACCAGCTGACCCATGCCGGACCCCCACGAACGGGAAACCGGGGCCCCACTTAGACTAACCCGTTAACAGCTCACCGAGCACCATGATTCATCCATCGAGAAAAACATGGCACGGCTTATCCCCTCTGTTTTATCGAAAAAACGCGTGAGGGAGGACGATTACAAGACGAGATGACCCCTCGACCGGACCCCTGCAACGAGCGGGGGCTCAGGGGAAGTTGGACTCTCAAGGAGACCGAGTACGCGGTCGCATACCAATGATAGATCGATCGGATCCTAGGGAGCGATCAGAATCAAGAGAAATCTTTTTCGACCCCCGAACCCCGCAGCTGCATGCTCCCGAGGAGTCCGATCACAACAGAGAGGAATCGCAACCCTACCAAGACATCCCATGGGCCGCGAAGGGAGATCAAAACCCTCAGAATCCTTCCGTCTGAAAAAGCCTTCGAAGGAGTATCCTACTCCTCCGCAGGCTCGGGGCTACTACCGGGTATCAGTATTAGGGATATCCGGAAAAAGGAAGCTGACGACCGTGAACGCTAACTCCCTCGGATGGTCAAGAGCGTATCTTGGTCTCGCCCGACCCTGAGGGTACGGGCTCCGTCTCGTCCGACCTCGAGGGCGCGGGCTCCGTCTCGTCCAACCCCTCGGGCGAGAGCCCCGTCACGTCCGACCTCGAGGGCGCGGGATTCGCCTCGCCCGATCCTGAGAGCACGGGCTCTGCCTAGCTTGACCCCTCGGGCGTGGGCTCCGCCTCGCCCGACCCTGAAGGTACGGGCTCCGACTCGCTCGACCCTGAGGGTGCGGGCCCAACGTCGCCCGACCTCAAGGGTGTGGGCTCTGTCTCGTCCGATCCCTCAGATGCGGACTTTGCCTCGTCATGCCCTTCGAGGGGGGATTCTACCTCGCCCGACGGGGTCTGTACTGCCCCCAACCACTACGGGGCTAAGGGTACGAGCCTATGGTCAAACTTCTGACGTCAGAAAGAGAGTAGGTGCTTCTTGACGTGACCCGCGGCCACGACGGGCCATACCTGAGGACTCACGTAGCCAACAGTGTCGGGCGTGCCGGCGCTATGCTACCTAATCCCCATACGACTTCCGACGATGATGTCTGCTAGCCATGCCGCCTGTCGACATGGAATGGAGCGCCATAACCGACTGACGATGCCCGCGTATAACACCAGTGATAAACAGGGTCGCGACGTGGAGTCGTCCCCGTCATCATCTACAGGACCGGCGGAACCCGTGTAAAGGAGATGAAAGGCGCCGTGACCCCGGAGGCCTTCCTCCTCCTCGCTTTTCTCTCTCTCTTTCTCTTGTGTAACTTGCGCCTTCTCCTTTAACTATAAAAGGGAAAGCAGGACGTCCGCGAAGGGCAACGGAAAAACACACCAAGACACTCAGACGCCTACACGCCCGCACGCAACCAGGCAACAACGCCCAGGAGAACTGAGCTCAAGCAGACTCAACTCCATTCGATCCTTCCATCAGAGACTTAGGACCTCCTCCATCTCTCGTCCGTTTGTAACCCTTACTACAAACAAGTGCCGGTAACACGAGCAGCCTCAAACTGGACGTAGGGACATTCCGCCCAAAACAGTATAAATCTTTATGTCCTCCGAGCACAGCCATCCGAGTCAGACGCACAAATCACAAAATTTACTAGCCAGTGATCCGAAACACCGATGCCCATAATTACCACGAGCATGCTTGTGCATGCTGTCCCCACGAGCAGAGCAATCGATACTCGCCTGTCTATGACACACCGACCCGTAGACGGTAGGTCCCTCGCGTCAGGGCCTCAGGGGCATAAACGTCCACTCCGTCCCTCAACCCGTCAACCGTCACCACGACGGAGGGCATTGAGCACGGCCGCCCACTTGCGTCGCCGTCGCGGAAGCGCGGAGCGCGTCGCCAAAACAAACGCGTCATCGTCTAGACGGCACAGCCGCACAGGAAACCAACCACTAATAACAAGTTAGCAGCTACTATTGCTGCCAGGGAGCTCGACTGACTCGGAACGAAATCGGAGGCATCCGTCTCGCCTTCCTCGCGAGATCGAGGTCCGCCCTGCTCCGGAGCAGGCGAGCCAGGCGGCGGTGCTGCTGGTGGGTTTGCATAGGGATGGAGTCGAGATCCATCCGGATTCGACATTTGAGTTCCTCTGCTTTGCTGGTAAGCCAACCCTAACCTGCTTGGATGGAATCGTTCTAGTAATGAGTTCAGCTGTACGCGATCTTATTTTTGATACATGCTGTGAGCAACGACCAACCGGGTCCAAATCATACTTCCTTTCCGTCACCTGATCCTGTTGTTGCCGCCTGGCGGAGTGGAGTAGCAATCTAATCCATTTATCCAAGGGTTTGCCCGATTGGATTGGGTTATCCTTCCTCTTTAGATCGCGCGTCATCGACCTCAGTTGAAGACATAGGCCTTTTCATCAAGGTCCTAGTGCATCTGAAGTTTCAAAAATTCGGGGGCTCGACTAAACCCAGATGCCCTCCCACTATGTCTGAGTCCGACCCTGCTTAGTTTCTGGAAGCTGTTTTTGTGAACTTAAGATTTGTCTTGATGGAGTTTTTGTATTTTCTTGATTTGCTAGAAGTCAGCTTTGTGTTGCTACGGCATAGAATTGGGGAGGATTACTGATATTGTTTCATAAAAAAACTGAAACTAGAGCATTTTATCATGAAAACCACTATGTGACCATGGCTATTGTGGCTGATGGTATGTGTATGAAACATGTAACACTTGTTTAAATCGGCTGAGCTGATTAGATCATATGTGGTCTTCAAGACTTTTAGCCCATGTAATGCAATTTTGGTGGTAGAGCCACAATGCAATGAAGTTCATCTGATGTTCCCTAGTCAGTAAAGTACCTGTTTAACATCTGACCAGAAATCATAATTGTTACTACATCTATGTCTATATATATCCTAATCAAATTGTTCCTATTGACAGTTTTAGACCTGTAGACTGTAGAGGAAGAAGACTTGAGAATGCTGAAAAATGTGCCTGCAAAACAATGGGAAAATCTTTTGTGCAAACAAGATTCGGCCTCTGTTCAAGCAGATATTGTTGGCTTCTCATGAGCATGGGCTTCATGCTGATACTATTCTTCTCTTCAATGATTTAAAGCACAGTAGATTGAAGGCCTTTATATTTGTTGGCCATCACCTTGGAGACGACGGTTAAAATCTGTTACATTCTTTCATAAGTGGTGTGGTGCTTGTTCATTATACTGTCATTGCATAGTTTGATACGATGGATGGTAGGAGGACAATTTTAATGGGACGTTATGAAATCGGTAAACAGCTGGGACAAGGAACCTTTGCAAAGGTCTTTTATGCTCGTAATCTTACTACTAGCCAAGCTGTTGCCATAAAGATGATTAACAAGGACAAGGTTATGAAGGTTGGGCTCATGGAGCAGATAAAGAGGGAGATTTCAATAATGAGGTTAGTGAAGCATCCAAATGTTCTTCAGCTTTTTGAGGTTATGGCTAGCAAGAGCAAGATTTATTTTGTTTTGGAGTATGCTAAAGGTGGTGAGCTTTTCAACAAAATTGCTAAGGGGGGAAAGCTCAGTGAGGATGCTGCGAGGAAATATTTCCACCAATTGATCAGTGCTGTTGATTATTGCCACAGTCGAGGTGTCTATCACCGTGACTTGAAGCCCGAAAACCTTCTACTTGATGAGAACGAAAACCTTAAAGTCTCAGATTTTGGTCTGAGTGCTCTAGCTGAGTCCAAGAGGCAAGATGGTCTCCTGCATACCACATGTGGAACTCCAGCTTATGTTGCTCCTGAAGTTCTGAGCAGAAAAGGTTATGATGGTGCAAAGGCAGATATATGGTCTTGTGGAGTAATTCTTTTTGTGCTTGTGGCTGGTTACCTTCCTTTCCATGACACAAATTTGATAGAGATGTACAGGAAAATTTCCAGAGCCGAGTTTAGATGCCCTCGTATTTTCTCAACTGAGCTGAAGGATCTGCTATATAAAATCCTCGATCCAGATCCTAGCACTAGAATTTCTATCGCGAGGATAAAGAGGAGTGCTTGGTACAGAAAACCGGTTGAAGTACATGCAAAGAAAAATGAGGCCCAAACAAGTGAGAATACTTGTACAGGTGAAGGTCCAACTTCTGGCTCAACAGAGTGCAGTACGTCCGAAGGAAATCAAGGGCCATTAAGCCTTCCAAACTTGAATGCATTTGACATCATCTCTCTCTCAACAGGTTTTAATCTCTCTGGGTTTTTTGAGGATAAGTATGGTCGCAGGGAAGAGAGATTTACTACCAGGCAACCTGTAACAACAGTATTTACAAAGCTGAAGGAGCTCTCCAAACGCTTAAAGCTAAAGGTCAAGAAGAAAGAAAATGGGATCTTGAAGTTGGCAGCTCCAAAGGAAGGAAAGAAGGGTGTGCTTGAGCTTGATGCAGAGATTTTTGAGGTTGCCCCTTCTTTGCTCTTAGTTGAGTTGAAGAAGACCAACGGGGACACGATGGAGTATCAAAAGCTAGTGAAAGAGGAGATAAAGCCAGCACTGAAGGATATTGTTTGGGTTTGGCAAGATGATCAACACCAGCACTCGCAACCACCACAGTCTCTATTGTCACCACCGCAGCCACAGGATGAGTTGCGACCATCGGTGCCTCAGCAAGAGGGGCAAGACTTGTTAGAAGCCCCATTGCCATCACTACCGCTTGACCAGTTGAAATCACCAACTGCCCTAGAGCAAGCAGAGCAGCTGCCACAAAAAGAACAGTTGGAACAGTTGCAAACGCCAATTGCTCCAGAGGAACACAATAACTAGCTCTAACAGCCAGCTGGTAATTCATATGTCCCTCTCAGCCATAGTTCATAGTTCTATTCTGTTTTTTACTCTTTGTTCTGGCTTTTCTATTTCTTCTGGAATTGTAAAGCTGTATGCTTGTATGTACTGTGAAGGGCGGGCCTGGTGCAAGCGGTAGAGTCTTACCGCCTGTGACCGGAAGGTCCCGGGTTCGAGTCGCGGTCTCCTCGCATTGCACAGGCGAGGGTAAGGCTTGCCACTAACACCCTTCCCCAGACCCCGCACAGAGTGGGAGCTCTCTGCACTGGGTACGCCCTTTTTTATGCTTGTATGTACTGCAGAAATGCCATGTATTTCAGTTTGAAATGATCAAATACATCACATATCTGATGTTAAATCAAAATTTTGGAAAGAATAATATTCTTTGACCAGCACTATTGAGTTGTATGAATTTTGACGACTGAAAAGTCTTCATGATTGGTTTCCTCTACTATCACTGGTATGAGCAGATTTATTGCTGTGGGCTTTGGCATTTTCTGTTATGATCTTATTCTAAGTTTGTCGCTGGAGATTTGTTTCCCTCTCATAGTGCTCTGTATTTCATAGGATTGAGGCCTTGCTAATTGCCATGTCGTTGATGAGTAGGTAGATAATGTGGCGAAAATTCTTCGCACAATCACACCTCGGTTTGCTTACTGCAGATGCCAAAAAAAGAAGAAAAAAAGGTCCTGACAAAAAGAAAGGATTTGCAAGTACAATATCAGTAGTTGAGTGTTGAGTTAGGCTCAACTCGTGCCATTTACCAAATTTCTCCTTTCACCTTGCAATCCAAAAGTTTACCCTTCCTGTACCAAATGCATCTATCTGTTCTGTTTTATTTTGCTTTCTCTGGATTGCTGATATCTGCAAATTAAGCAAATGTGACGCATATAGGCATAAATTTTCGTTGTAAATTGCCATTTTTTTGTTTTTATAGAGAAATACGTGTGGATCACGAATAAATTATGATAACAAAAAATGGTTGAGACTTTTTTTGAGGGAGATGGAAATTCTTGAGATATTCGTCCTCTGAAATGATTTAGTAACCTCTTCCAAACAGATCGTAGTACACTTGCTGTCCTGCAGAGGAACGTCTCTCCTGGAGACATACAAAGCCATCCAGACGTGTCCTCATCAAAGAAGCAGTTAATAGCCAACACTGATTCGCTGTGCTGGCCAAATGAAAAATCTGACTGACCCTTGTTTTGGTGTATTATGTGGGATGACCGGGCAATGATTTCAGCTCTGCTTAGATGTGGTCATAGAAGACTCTGCAAGTCTACTCCCCCCAGGTACTATATTCAATGGCACCATATTCTCTGTTTATAGCTCCGGGTCATTCTAATTCCCTACACATTGTTCTATCTCGTTCAGGAGCGCCTTCCATCTTCCTCTTCTAGCTGGTGTGGAGGCTGAGCTGCATCCGGTCTCTGTTGGCCATATGAGCATGGCTGCAGAAATGGAACAGCCACTTCGGGTAAACTACCATGTGATCTGTGCAGGTGCTTTCTAGGTTTTTGTTGTGGATTTCTAGATCTGTTTTAGCTGTTGAATTTTTCACCATCATTGTGCAAGTATTATCTCCTAGTACTTTTCATGTGCTGCTTGTATACTCAAACATATAGCAAACCTTAGTAAGTTTTGTTTCTTTCATTTCTGCACTTTGAACCCAGAGTTCAACGTGGGGCATGATTGTTTGGCTGTGCCAGGGTAATGGAAATCTACTTTACATTACAGATTTGTAACACCACACACACACACACACCAATCAGCCTTAGGGAACTTTGCCTTGTGTCCAAGTATTTATCTCCTTTTGCGGTCGTGCTGTGCAGGAATCCATGTCCATGGACATCGAAGAGGGACCCCGCATTGGAAATGGATCGATCGTTGACAACCCCGCATCTGACCTGGTGAAATCAGAATCTGACCGAATAAAAACTTTTTACCAGACGGTCCTGTCGGCCATCATGGTGTTCGTCACGGCAGCACTATCAAGCTACAAGGACATGAAGACCCTTTACTCGACCACAAGCCGCAACAGAGCTCGCCTCAGCAGCCTCCTCGTCGACGAGGGCTTATTCATATTCATGACCTTCTTGTGTGCAGTGGTCCTAATGATGTCTGAGTTCTTCGTGTACCAGTATGGCCGGCGGGGTCGTGTCTGGTGCTGGGTTCTCACCATCCTCGTCGCAGTCACCGGTGTGATGCTAATTGTGGCTGACACAATCCTCCTCATCGTGGCGAACCGAAGCAACATGTTGCTGTCAGTTCTTCTTGGGCCGGTGGTGTTGCTTGTCGGTGTGGTCGCGGGCGCTGGAGCATGGATGCGGGAGGAACCCAGCTCGGAGCTTGGCAGCAGGTATGACACGGCCATGAAGGTCACCTTTGATATGGCCACAGTTGGCACCATTGTCTCTTTCACTCTTCAGGGGGGCATCGTCTTTGGCTACCTGAAAACCCGAGGCAGTAAGCAGGTCAAGCGTGACCCGCCCCTGGACCTCGCTGCGTGCTATGCCACCTCGACGCTCTCCCTGATCGCAATGATGGTGTTTGCCATGCCGCTGGCGCGTCTCCCGGACGACATGCTGAAGGGTCCTCGTCAGAGTCGTCGAGAGGCTCTGGAGTGCTGTGCTGGCCACTCTTGCGATGATGGCGCTGGTCGTCTCGGTGGAGTTCCTGGACGGCTTCGTCGTGCTCTCCTTCCCGGATGCCGGCGCAATTGTCCTGTACTACGTGGTGAAGCTGTTCTCGGCATGCCAACCGCAAGAGGGGAGCTCACTGCTGGACTTCACCTTCCGGAGCCGCCGCGGGGTTCACTCTAATGACTGGACTCTATGGGGCTTTCATGGGGACAGATCACTATGGCTTCTACCTCAAGACCGCTATGTTCATCCTGTTACTTGCAGTTCTGTCAAGCTTGAGCCGTCTGGCAATCCCACTTCACATGCTCGACCTGGAGTGGGAGGAGCCATCGAGTTCGGCATTGCTGGTGTCGCCCTCGCTTTTCCCCTGCTGGCGCTTCTGGCTGCCATTCCATTGGTGCTCAAAGTCTTCGTCGACCACTACGTCAACCGTTAGTCTTTGGCTGTTTGCCTGTTTGGTGAGAACCGGCACGATTCTTGCCTGTGGTAGAGTACATGCTGTAGAGTGCCAGCGCCCAGCAGTAAATTTTTCATTACTGCATTTTGGCAGTCAAGGTGGCTTGTTTGTAAGCTTCCCAATATTGCTTTTTCCTAGAGCTGTATTTGGCAGAAAAAATTTCATGCTGATCCGTGGTTATATTTCAGTTCTTCGTAAGGCCCCGTTTTGGTTCAGAGGAAGTCCATAGGAATTTCAAAGGATCCGATTCCTCTGGAAAGTTATCACACAAGGCCGTTTGGAACAAAGGAAAGGCAAATTTAGGAAAGGTTTGGTGACTGTTCTATTTCACAGGAATTAAAAATCCAGTCGGACCTAAAATTTTGCGGAAGCTCGAGAGAACTAGCGGAAGCGTTCGTGAGAGTGAACTCTACTTGCTACCTCTGCCCATGGATTCTCCAGGGACTAGCATGGCACCCCACCACACCATGGATGGCGACCGAGAGTCAGAACTATATGTATGCAGGTCAGGTTCAGTGCTATGCTAAACTGCTAATGGATTACTGCATTGATGAATCAATCTTGACGATTCATCTTGATTCTTGCCGAATTCATCAATGCAGACAAACAGCACAATTAGCAAGACCGCCCTGGCAGATAATCTTTCTGTCCCCTGCTGGGTGTAGGCTGTGGCACAGATTTAGTCAGGAATTCTGATCCAGAATTGAGCAAGCAAAGACTTTTGGCTGACTTGCTGAAAAACCTTTGGCTGAGATTCTTTCCCTTGCTTACGAGTTCGTTGTACGGAAGCAACAGCCGACACGATTTCTTTCGGTTGAGGAAGATTCTTGTGGTAGCCAGGGGCCAACGTCCATGATAGCTACTTGATCCACGAAGGACATTTTTTTGTGAAGTTTTTTTTGGGTAACCTTTGCTGCGAAGTTACTGACGCTAATAGGCTCTTGGAAGTTGGAAGCTCGTATTTGGCAACTGAAGTAGCATGGAAATATCGTCACCATACCAATCGTCCCCACAGACCGAAAGGCACATCGACAAGCACGTAGAGTATTGATATTTTCTAGAAGTCAAGACTTGGGTGGCCTCGTTTTTGTCTCTATCGTGTGGCCCCATATGGTATGGATATGCTTTGAGCTCCAATCACTGTTCAAACACAAATCAAGCGACGAACCGACGAATATACAGCCTGTTCGTTTGGTTGAGGCTTGCCGTAAATGATCGTAAATTTTTAGTCGGAATAGTATTTTTCTCTCACATAAATCAGTCAACAGTATTTCTTCACAAACCAGCAACGAAATGAACCAGCCAACCGAATAGGCCGAGTGTGTCCGCACAGAGTGAGTATCCAACTGGAAACTGCTTTATGGTATCAATGCTGCGATAATGATGGCTGGCAATGAGTAAACCGAAACGTTTAAACATGAGTAGCTACATACTAAGGCATATTACTGAGGTCTCACTTGGAGTCATTCACTAATAATCCATTGCTAACAACTAATCTCACGTGTATTCGCTCCTAAAGTTTGCTAAAAGTTTATTGCATCAATCTAGGATGAGATACAGAGATAAGAAAAGAACAAAGAGCACAGTTTGACAAACAGTGATAGATAATTTACAGCCTATTCGTTTCGGCTGAAACGATCGTGGATTATAAGCTAGAAATACTGCTGGCTAGTTTGATATGAGAGAAAAATACTATTCCATCTTATAATCCACGATCGTATACGATCATCGTATAAGCTCAGCCGAACAGGCTGTTATACTACTCTAGGACAAACCAATAATTTATTGTGTTGTGTGACAAGAAATTTCCCAGCAAGCCATGCGTTGACGCACTAGGAACAGAAGTCTTTCCTTGCCTGTAGCCTAGCGTCCCCTGATCCCCTCCCCTCTTTCCTACTGTCAAGAGACTTTTTTTTCTGAAACAAATACTGTCAAGAGACTCAAGACCACCACTGCTGGGAGGCTACTCGGGGACGGACGCCCCTCCATGGCAGCAAACTCCTATCCTTCACAGGTACACAGGCAAATCCTTGTTGCTTGCTTCAGTTTTTTTAACCTTTTCCATGCCTATCTTCCTTTAAAGCGCGTTTAATCAGGTTCCTGTTCTGCCCTTTTTGGACCCTCTCCAAGTGAGATTTGTGGCGAAATCCGTGTTAAAAGATGATTTATTTCACAGCCAGATCTGTAGCCAAATCCATGTTATTCACGACAAAGATTTCCATGTTACCCAAGATAGTTGCTTTCTGACGCAAACTGAACTTGCTGTCCTGTCTAGTCCTATGTTTAGCAATTCCTATGTCAGTTTATCTGTTAGCTTTTTAAACCTCAATCCAGGAAAAAATATGTACGACGATCATATTTACTGAGCTTATGAAGTACGTATGTTTTTATGGAGACAAATTTGACAACCAATGAACTATCTGATGTAATATTTGCCTTAGATGTTCCTGTACTGAACAATAAGAGGATCTCCAGTTCATAGTTAAGATCGTCAATTAGCGTTGTCTTGTGCTATGACCTATTTCTACTTGATTACATCTCTGATATGTGTTTTGGTGCGTTGAAAGCATGGACTGAAGTTTATCAGCCAACTTACAGCTGCCTAACTCAAGAGCTATATGCTTTTCTTCGCATCCAGTGGTTGGGCCTTTTACTTTATTTTTCGTATTGGACTGTAGTTGGGTGCCTTTAATGAATTTAAACTTCGGGTGTGTATGCTTGTAATACTTCTAGTCTTATGCTTCTTCTCCGAAGAAAGTCTGAAGCCTGATTTTTTTTTATCATATAAGAAATTGTAGTCATAAAAAGAATTTTCATGTTTCACAATAGCTGATTCTTGATGGAATATGAGCTTACTGCCAACTGCCAAGCCTAGTCCTTTGTAGTTAGCATTTGTAAGCTTTTTGCTACTTTCATTTTGCGCCTCAACCTTGGTTAGAAATATGTTGAAGGGTAGTATGCAGCAAGAGAGAAAATGTATTATCCCAATAAGAACACTGTTCTTGTCAAATATCAATACGTTTTGGGTTAGGTGTTTCGGTTGTGGCCTGCATAGTTCAAATTCCTATACAGATTATCTTGTGGTACTAAGTACAAACTGATCCCTAGATGTTTACCCCTCTGACATTTGTATTCCACTGTGTTAAAAGCATGGCCTAAAGTTTAGCACTCAGCTTTCCTTCAAAGTTTGGGGCGTCTGACAGACGTTGATTTTGAAATCAGCGCTGGCATCTGAGAGATAATTTGTTACACGCCCAATAAAGTTTCCTTGTGTGCTGACCTGATTTGTTCTCCCTCTAGTTTGCAGTTATTTGACATTTTGGACAATAACACAGTCTCCAAATCATACCTTTGATCACTATTTAGAATATAAATATATGTAATAAATTTATGTTTGTTATGAAATTACTTTTCAAGAAAAATCCATTAATATGATCTTCAAGTTTCTTTTCTATAATAAATACTTAAAAAAATATTTGTAATCAAAGTTTTAAAGGTTTGACTCAAATCTTGTTCAAACATGAAGTATTTGCAAACAGGAGGAATTAGTTGGTTATGTCTATGGTGACTTGAAAGCATGGCCTGAAGTTTTGAAGCCAACTTACTGCTAGATTTCCATGTTTCACTGTAGTTGTTTCTTAAGAAAACTGATCTTATCGCAAGCCTAGTCTTTTGAATCGGCATATTATTAAATGAACATGTGAATCTATTTGCCAGGATATTCAATACTGGCGTGTTTACAGCTCAATCATAAGTTTTCTGAATGCCGGTTATATGTATAGATCTGTTGAGAAGTAATTCTCCATTTTTTTTTTCAGAAAAGGGCGAATGCAACAATCTTGATCAACCTTTGTTAGTTAGGTATACCGCTGCTTATGTACACGATTTTGCAGAAGGGAAACAAAATTAACGTGTGCTTTTTGTGTTAGGGTAGCGACCTGGATAATGCATATATTATATATTTTTAGAGTACATTTTCTATAGTTAGTTAAGCTCATTTATTAGCAGTTTACTTTGTGGTTTGAATTGATTACTAGTTGTTTACCTTCTGACATGTTGAGATCATGGCCTCAATTAAGCACTCGACTTTCTTGCAAAGTATTGGCGCCTCTAATAGTCATCCATTATGAAATTAGCTTAATTTTTTAGAGTTTAAGGGCCTAGCCCCAGCCTTAGCATTAACCAAGACAAAACGTTTACAACATTCATCCAGTTTAACAGAATCCACAGCTCAACATCGAGTGCAATAGCATACACACACACCAACCCAACTATTACATGAGCCAAGCCGATTTGAATTCCTTCAGGCTGATCCACTTGTTTTCATTCTCCTTCCCTACCATTTCTTCACAGCCAGCTAAATGAACCTTCACATCTTCAGGGAGCGCTTGACTTTGCCAATCGTGTGCATGTTTGTAGAGATAGCTCTCCCAAGCTTTTCCTACCCGGGGCATCCAGAAAGCAGATGAGGTCTTGTAGCTATATTCCTCAGCTTCTCCAATTTCTGGTTGAATTCCAAGAGCTTTTCTTTGGGGCACAACAACCTCCAGTTTTGAAGCATATTGACTACATGCTGAATCAAAATTTTCACACCCTTCCAAAGGCAACCCTGATAACATAGACTGTTTCTTAGCTTCCAAAGCCCCCACAGGGCAGCAGCACAGAACATGTTATTAACTAAGGATCTCTTATTACTCAACCACATAGAACCGATTGATTCAAAGGAACTACCTACATTTCTATCTATCACTTCAGAAATCCAGACCCAAACTTGTCTAGCAACTGCACACTCAAAAAAGAGGTGTTGCACAGATTCACTTTCTATACAAAACAAACATGACTTATCATCTACTTTCCTTCTTAAGCTTAGATTATCTCTAGTCAGTAACTTGTTTTTGGACAATAACCAGAGAAAGAAATGTACCCTAGGAGGAATTTTTAATTGCTAGACAGCAGGCACATGAACTGGTAAAATACCTCTAAAATTGACTATCTTATACAAAGATTGAGAGGAATAAATACCATTGGATGTGAATTTCCAGATAAGGGCATCCTCATCATTACTGAAAACAATAGTAGAAGCTAGTTGGACAATCTCCAACCAAAGGTTCATTAACGTATCGTCAACACATCTACGGAAGGTGCATTTAAGATCCACACCATCCCACAGGTTAGCTACTGCCTTAGATTTTTCATTAACTAGAATGTAAACCTCCCAGTATTGAATGGCTAGGCTTGAGGGACCCAGCCAGAGTTATCCTCCCAGAACTTCACCTTCCTACCGTTTCCTATTTTCCAAGTACAGCCCATTTTGGCTGCCCAGATCATTCCTCTAAAGAACTGAGAAACACCAACAGTAGGACTATCAAAGATATTAGCCTTACTAGTATCATATTTGCGGTCAATAAGCTTCCTCCAAAGTTTTTGATCATCTAAATTATATCTCTTGATCCAAGATGCTAAAAGACAAATATTCAAATCTCTTAGATTTGGGACCCCAGGCCCACCATATTCTTTCATCATACTAACACTCTCCCAGTTTGCCAAATGATATCTATGAGCACTAGGATTGTCACTCCATAGACAATTAGAAATTAGCTTAATTTTAGAGAGAGAGTTTGTTAATCCCTTATGGACTTTTCTTTTTTGAAGGTAAAGAGCGCAATGGATGACCCAGAGTTGAATGCTCCTCCCAAGAATGATCCAGAGGAGGAGCCAAAGCAGGCAACAAATAGGATACTGAAGCGTACATCATCATTCGCTCAAGGCACTATTGCCACCGCGACAGGCTTCCTCACCGCAGCTTTCTCGGTGCGCAAAGATGCTCTGTTGCACCGGCACGTCCTGGTGGCCGGCGGTTGCTTCTTGGTCATCGCGTACCTTTCTGCGCTCCTGCTGGTCTACCTGAAATTGTTCTTGTCAGGACACAGGCAGCTGCATAAGGGGCACATCCGGTTCATCCAGTTTCTCTGCATCATCAGTGGCGCGGCGCTGGTGGCGACGAACTCCCTGCTGCTGCTCCTCATAAGTGAAGGCAGCATCTTGTTGTCGCTCAATCTGCTGCCTATACAGGGCCTCATCGGCATTCTCGCGTACCACGCGACACCGACGGAGGACAGCATGCGCGACGAGGTGTTCGAGGCGGGGATCAAGAGCGGCCGCAAGGTTGCCCTGTTCGCCACAGCGACGGCCTTCGCCGTGCAGACCACGCTCCTGTTCGGCTACCTCAACAACTCCAGCTTCCGGGCGCTGGGCCACCGGTTCGATCTCTCCGTGTCCTTCCTGGCGTCGGCCCTCAGCGTGTTCCTGGTCGTGGCCACCTGCATGCCTCTTGGGTACAGGACTAGTGCCGCGAGGGACAAGGTGCTGTCCCTCGTGAAGTACCTGAAGGACGCCGTCATCGCCTTGCTCGCGGTCACCGCGGTGACTATTGCCAAGGAGTTTCTTGGTGGCGACACTGTGCTCGCACTCTTCCCGGAGATCACAGTAGCTACCATGTATTATGCCGTGAATCTGTTCGCTGACGACACTGCAGAGCAGGGCCAGCGGGAGGCCGCTGAGAACAAGATGGAGATGTTGCCGACCGCCGTCGTGGCCACGTTCGGCTTCGGCATGCTGGGTGCGGCCTACGCCGCGCTGCTGGGAACGCCGGAGTACGACATGTACACGAAGGCGCTGGTGTTCACCTTGCTCGCCGCCGTCGTGTCCAGCCTGGGACGTGTGGCGGGGCCGCTCTGCAGCCCCCGGCGCGACAAGAACGCGGCGGCGTGCGTGGTGTTCCTGAGCAACATCCTCCCCATCGTGGAGATGCTGGTGGCCGTCCCGCTCGCCGCAAAGGTCGCCAGTAATGCCCTCCCCGTGTCTTAGGAACAACTGTCTGTATTCTGTTTAACCTACGAGGTACCGTTGATTTAGCCTACGAGGTACCGTTGATTTATCGTACAGTAAATGTTTGTATGCCAGTCATATTTTTGTATGTCAGTTGAACAATGTTGTTACTACCAGCAAACAGCCACAAACAACTCCCATAACAAAATTCTTGCAGAAAGAATGTCTGCCTGTGTAAAGCAGATAGAAGGTTTCTTTTGTAAGTATTTACTAACTACAGTACACATGACTGGCTGCTGCAACTTGTTCCACAACTTTTAAGAATGATTGAGAAAACTGGTTGTTTCATTTACATGCTGGAGCAAGATTAGATAGTGAGAATGATTCTCTAGAGTGTGCACAAGACATCGTAAAGGTGAGGCGTTGCTGTTCCAGAAATTGGGTCAGCTTCCTTCCTGACGGGCAGATACGATACGCACGCATGCGCAGATTTCTTCTACGCCTATAGCAACTTGTACCCCTGGAGAGGAGAGACATTGAGATCCACTCAGGCCTTGTTTAGATTGAAATTTTTTCAACCTGATGAATAGTATCACTTTCGTCTTATTTGACAAATATTGTTCAATCGTGGACCAACTAGGCTCAAAAGATTCATCTCGTGATTTCCAACTAAACTGTGTAATTAGTTATTTTTTTTACCTATATTTAATACTCCATACAAATGGCTAAAAATTGATGTGATGGAGAGAGAGTGAAAAAACTTGAAACTTTGATGGGATCTAAACAAGGCCTCAACTTCCAAGAGCTCCATGAACCGGACTCACTAACCGACACACCACAACGTTGGTCAATATGATTCCGCAACATGCAGGCCTCGTCAAAAATTAACAAACTGTAGCTTGCCCATCGCTTTTGCGAACTAAATGTGGGGCTTCTTTTGTGGACTTAAACTGAATGAAGTTCACGGCCAGATGCGGTGTCGTCAGTTGCATCATCAGCCATCTACTTCTTGGCGACAATCAACAATTGGTCATCAGTAAACTGCTTTATCTGTCTCTGCCATGGTTGCCGCGCTGCGAGGAGCGAGCCATTTCCTTGGTCACTTCTCTCTTGTTTATACGATGCGCCATTTTTTACAGGTGAGGAAGCACTACTGACAAAACTACGTATAGACATATTTCTCTTAACTGTAGTGTTGGACTGTTCAGGCATGATCATAGATAAGTTTTAACTTCTAAGAAGCATCATTACAAGTTATAGAGAAGATTTGTTGTATAAATTGGTCTTCTCAACATTACATTCGGTATATATAGTGCTGTACCCGCCAATCGGTTGGAGTTGGACCACGCCAATGCCATTGCCATGCATATCCATCCCCCTGTTTCGAGCCATGGATCGTGTCATCCGGTGGTGCAGCCTAGCTCAGCGTGCCAGCTGTGGGCTGTGACGCTCCCGCTCCGTCGTCTGCAAGCGTGCGTGCGTACGAAAAGTGACGTGCAACCACCGAGAAAGATCCGCTCTATAAGACGACGCGTCCTTTCCACCTACAGCGCAAGTACACTACCGGAACACACGAGCCGACGAGCGAGCGCGTGGACCGTTCCGCGCGTGGTGACATCAGTCGGAGAGAGCGATCGGTCGAGATGCCTCCCGGTCCCGGCGTCGCGGACCAGGCGCCACCGCCAGCGCCACAGCCGCCGCAGAGCCCTCACCGGGGCAACGACGGCGCCATGATGCCCATGCCGCAGAGCCCGCTCCGCATCAAGCAGGACGGCAAGTTCTACCAGCGGCTCCTCACCAAGGAGAGCTCCGTGGCCAACCTGTCGTTCCGGTACTACTGGGCAGAGCCGGGCGCGGTGCCGTTCGTCTGGGAGTCGCTCCCGGCCATCACCCCGCCGCCGTCGTACCTGCTCAACGGCGGCGGCAAGCAGCAGGTGGTCGCCTCGGCACGCCATGACCAGAAGAGCGGCGGCAGGGCGGCGAGGAGCGGCAGGAAGCGGCGGCGCTGCAGGCTCAAGAGGATCAGGATCGGCTTCATCGCCGGCATCTTCCGGCGGCTCAGCAGCCTCGGGAAGAGGTGGCGGCAGCGCCCGGCGACGCCGGTCAAGGTGGCGTCGTCCTCCAGCCGGTGGCTCTTCTCCTCAGTGGCCACGGAGACAGGCGAGCACAACCTCCACCAGGACGAGATCGGCGCCATCGTTGCCGCGCACCCGAAACAGCACAAGGCCGTGCCGTGCAGCTTTCCCACCCTGCGGCTGCTGCGCTTCCGCAACAGCTCCGGCAACCGGGGCGGCCGCAACGACGGCTGGGCGTAGAAAAGGTCGCTCACTCCCAGCGTGGTGGCGACAAGGAATCGCAAGTCAGAAAGTGGTTTGTTATGGTTACGAAATAGGTTAACGATCGATTTCTATCGCTGCCAGTGAGTCCAACTGTGTTTAATTTGTTTGTATATTGCCCAGTGGCCAGTGCAGTGCTGTATGAAATTTTTATTCTCGTGTTCATCGTGTTTACAGATCATGAAGTTCACGAGTTTGGAATATCTCGTCAACGTTTGTATATAGTATATGCGCAGTTCTGTTGTACATGAACTCGATCGAGATAAGAATCATATGTTGATTCTGCTACTCTTGTCGTAATATGTGATGCTATCGTTATCATCATCATACAGTATTATAAGTAGTTGCATTCAATTAGCACTTTAGCAGTGCATAACTCCGACCACTCTGAAAGATTATAGGCCGATTAGCCTTATGCACAGCTTCAACAAACTGTTTGCCAAATGCTTGGCCAGGCGCCTAGCACCGAGATTACAGGAGATTGTTGCGCCGAATCAGAGCACGTTTATAAAAGGTCGATCCATCCATGACAATTTCAGAGCTGTGCAGCTTGCTTGCAGATGGCTGAACTGCAAAAGGGTCCCCTCAGTACTACTGAAGATTGATATTGCCAAGGCGTTTGACTCCGTTTCTTGGCCGTTCCTGCTTGAAGTACTGCAGCACATCGGATTCCCCCGCCGGTGGACAAACTAGATCTCCATACTGTTGTCGACGGCCAGCACGAGGTCAAAGCCAAGTGGCTTGGACCAAATGGATATTGCGACTCCGTTCCTGGGCAGAAGGATTCCCCGCCGGTGGACAAACTGTCAGAGGACGGCCAGCACGAAGACACTGCTAAAATGGACGATCCGATCTCGCCGATGCAAGGGGATCCGATCTCGCCGATGCTCTTTGTTATAGTCATGGAAGTGCTCAATTCTTTGATCAGAGAAGCTGATCGACGCGCGGTGCTATCACCGCTGCCCGGACAAGCAATCGTCCATCGTGCTTCGCTCTACGCCGATGATCTAGTCGTCCTAGTAACCCCACAGCAGGAAGACTTCAATTGCCTGAAACAGATCCTTGATCTCTTCGCAGGTGCATCAGGTCTCATTACCAACGTCGAGAAGTGCCTGGCAACAACGATAAGATGCTCCGATGAGATGGTTGCATCACTGCAGTTAGTGTTCCCCTGTGTTGTGGCGCCCTTTCCCTGCAAGTACTTGGGTATCCTGCTGTCTTTGTCAAGGCTTAAGCGTGGGGATGAGCAGGCGTTGGTGGACTCTGTCGCAGCAAGAATACCAACCTGGAAATCTGGACTGCTCACTCACGCCGGCCGTGTGCTTCTGACCAAGGTCACGTTGTCGGCCATCCCTATTCACCTGAGCATTGCTTGCTGCCTCTCCACCTGCGCAATCCATCAGATTGATAAACGTCGCCGTGCTTTTCTCTGGGCCGGGACTGAGACAACGTCTGGGGGCAAATGCAAAGTGGCCTGGACCACTGTCTGTAGGCCAACGTGCTTTGGCGGCCTTGGCATTGTCGATTTCTTTGGCTATGCGTTGAGATTGCGCTAGGAATGGCTTAGCCGGACCGCGCCGGACAGCTGCTGGGGAAGGCTACCGTCGAAGACTGAGCGGCCGGTGGCTGCTATGGCGATGGTCAGCATGTCCGTGATACTGGGCGACGGCTGTGTTAAGAACCACGATAGCCATACTGGAATTCGGGGAGGGAAGCAACAGATCGGAGTCAAGGAAGGCAGCAGAGCAATAGGTTGGGTTCAGACGAAGAGTGCTTATAGAAGAAGCAATAATTCGGTTACAATGTATTTCATAGATGCCCTCTCTCTCCACGCGATCTCCTACTTATACTTGGTTCGCAAGCACTCGATGAAGATGTCAAAAGCATCACGATGTCGCCCACTGGCTGCCGGTCACACGCGTGCTTGGCGCCTTGGGCCTGGTGGACCTCCTGAGCACCGGCCCATCTTCAGCTTCTTGTATGGCCGGATCCGCTATAGTCGCGGGTGAAGTAGTGGGAGCAGGCGACGCCGTGACATTCCCCCCTCCTTGCGCGCCGGGACGGCTCCAGACGTTGGCGCGGGGAAACTGCTGCTTCAAGTACTCCATCGAGCAAGATTGGTTGCTCACTTGCTCTTACTGAATCTGCAGGACAGCTACGTACTACACTCAGGATCTTGAAAATGCAGAAACGAGCGCTGTCGCTTACTAGTCCTGAAGGCTGAAAGTATAAGCCATTCTCGCGTAGGTGCTGGGTTCCTGCTGTAACAAACAGAACCCATATCGTCACATAGTACATACATGCTTACTGGACGAACTGCATAGCTCGAGCTCGATCATCTCTTCATCGATGAATTGGATAGCTCGTGCAGGAGTATGCATTTGAAAAGTGTACGTTTGTAGGAGTTCGATCATCAACACATGGATGAAGAACATCTGTCCTAGCTAGACAAACAGCTTCGAGTTATTGGCAGTCCAGTTACTAATCGTTTTTGTGCCTGAAAGACCTACACAACGATTTGCAATCTGTGTGGATGTGGTATGCTGCAGTTCATGCCGTACGTCGGCCAACTAACGCAACCGATCTTGACAATTTCCTTGCAACAAACTCAATGTCGTTGTTCAAGCAATTAGCATACAGGATCTCCTCGATCGGAGTCTGATGCTGTGTCTTGTTTGCTCCTCATGCATGCACACCTACCAGAGCAAACTAGTACTCCAATTTTACCTCTTTTGTAGTATGTTGGTCACCCTCCAACACATATCCAATTTCCAAGCTAACCCCTGGAATCTCTGGTGCCAGCAGTGATGCGTACTATGAAGCCGCATGCAGACAACCCTTAAGTTATAATCTACGTGGGCTAGATCCATATAATATTCTAAAACTAGCAAGGTGATTAGCACAAAATAGTGAATAGTGAGGTTATCTAGCTTTATTTTGCATTTGGAGTTGTTATCTGAAAATGGTTCATGCAAATAGCTTTGTTTACTTGTTTGACTCACTGCATCCATAGCCCTAAACTCTATATAGATACTTTTTAGGGGTTCTTGCCCCTACTTTGATGTGCAATTGTGATTTTACCCTCGTTTTTCTAACTTTGTGATTTTGCCCTTAACTGTTCACAAGTCAACGCGATTTTGCCCCTGGTCAACGGTAAAAACAGGGGCAAATTCGCGTTGACCAGGGGCAAATTCGCGTTGACTTGTGAACAGTTAAGGACAAAATCACAAAGTTAGAAAAATGAGGGCAAAATCACAATTGCACATCTGTGTAAGGGGCAAGAACACCATTTTCCCTACTTTTTATGCACAGAGGGGCTTGCGCCCCGACAGACAAATTAAATTACTAAAAAGAAGAGTTAGCAGTTACAAGCCATAGTTCAAGAAACCAAAAAGGAAGAAAAGAAAAAAAATACAAATTACAATAGATTCTGGATCCATAGGTCAAAGATATCTGAAATACTAGACTTTATTCCGAAGATCAACAACTTGATTTCTTTTGTAAAAGTCTCCTTGACATTGTTGACTGATGGCTGAATGTTGTTGAAGATGAGGTCATTTTTTGTTGTCCAAATTGCCCAACTCATTAAGATAGCCACCAATATGGAAAAATAGGAATGTGACTGAACTCTTGTTTGTAGCAAAGCTTTAGGAAAAGCTGAATCAACCTGGAAGTCAATGTTCAATAGACTCCAGCATTCTTTAGCAAAAGGACAAGACAAGAACAAGTGTTGCACGGTATCTTCTGATTGAGACTGACATAACACACAATTATAGGATTCTAGTTGAATATTTTTCCTTCTCAGAATGTTTCTAGTGCTTAATCTATCTTTCACGAGCAGCCAAAAGAATACATTATGCTTTGGTTGATAGAAACAGGTCCATAGCCACTTGAAACCTTGATGCACTTGTCTATGCCCAATTAAAGAGATATAAGCATTTGAAGCAGAAAATTTACCTCCCAACCGTAACTCCAGATGTCATTCATAGTTGGTTAATAGAAAGTATTGCAGGATATCACTACTATATATTGATCTATCACCAACACCTTTATCACCACCGGTATTATTAAAACCGTTCATGGTTTGTAATACGAACTGTTGGTGATGAGAATATCACTGCCGGTTCGTAAGAACATGCGGGTTGATAGCTATCACCCGCCTCGTCTTACCAGCCGGCGGTGATAGTACATCATCACAGCTGCTTTGCACCACCAACCGGCGGTGATAATGTGCTCCTCATTACTGTCGCCTCGCCATATGAATCAGCGGTGAAGACATTTTCACCGTCAGCTTGTTGTATGATACGGTGGTGACAACCATGCTGCAGTATAAATAAATTTATAACTTTTTCAAATAAAGTCAAATGAAAACAAACTTTATATAAAAGTTGTAGACCTTGATGAGATCGATAACTTTGTAGTTGGTGACTTTTTTATTTGAAACCATTTACGGTCCCAGAATTCTATTTGAACCACTCAAATTTTAAAATTCAAATTTTTCGAATTGTACAAACGACCTTAGATGGGAAAATGACCAAAACCAAAGTTGTAGATTTCGATGAGATATACAATTTTGTAGTTGACAACTATTTCATTAGAAATCATTTATAGTCTCAAATTTGTATATGAAGTTTTAAAATTTTAAAAACCAAAATTTTCAAGCAATCTTGGATGAAAAATCGACAAAAACCAAAGTTGTAGATCTCGATGAGAATAACAACTTTGTAGTTGATGAGTTTTTCATTTGAAAGTATTTGAGGTCCCAAAAGTCTGGCTGAAGTTTTGACGTTTTGAAATTCAAATTTGTTAAACGACTTAGGATGGCGAAATAACTAAAATCAAAGTTGTAGATCTCGATTAGAACAACAAATTTGTAGTTTATGACTTTTTCATTTGAAGCTATTTAGGGTTCTAAATATTCATTTTAAATCCTAAAAAGTGAATATTACAGGAATGGATATGATATATAGACACAAGTG